TAAGAGGGCGGTCAGCCAAGACAGTGCGTCGGCTATTACAGGAGGATCGTTTAAAGTTGGTTTTCGGTTTTTGTTCAGCACATGACAGCTTAATTTGACCATCAGTCCATCAATCAAAAAGTCTATTATTTTGATTTTTGGATGGTTTTCGTTAATTAAATGTCGGTCAAAAAACGTAAAATCGTTTTTATATTTTCGTGTCAAAGAATAGATATTTAAAAATACAATATTTAAACTTTGCTATGTCAATGAATTATCAAACACTATAATTAGTTTATTTCAGCTGAAGATTTAAACCATATTTCTGTAAGCTTGTCGAAATATTCACGTTAACCTGAATAATGAATAATATTTTAATTATTTCTTCTAAATAAGAGTATGTGTTCATCTATAATAAAATAAATTTCCTTTAATTGTTTAAATACAAAAGAAAATAAATTTTTTTGTATGCGTAAAATATTTTTTACGTCGTGGCTGCTGATTAAATGTCTGTAGATTTTGTTATTCATTATAATATTCTTGCTTCGTGAAAATCTATTGTTTCATGTGTATAATTTCTTTTAAAAAGCTTTGTCGTCCTATTAATGATAGTTGCCAATAGCTTTATGTGCAGTTTTAGTGCGACGTAAGTTAAGTATTATAACTGTCTAATTAGTGATAGTAATTTTTTATTTTACAAAAACAAGGCGGAACATTCACGTAGTCATTGTCATTCTGTCAGTCATGCCAACCACAATCGCCAAATTGATTTTAAATTAGCAAATTTTTTTTTATAAAAGATGTAGAGGTTTGTTCAGGGGTGTCTAAGAGTTATACCCATCATGTTAGCCCTCTTCTGTCATATTTTTTTTTTTTTAGTTTCGTGCATTTCATTCCCTTGAAGCTGCCAAAATTTGGCCTTTATTCTGCTGATCACAATATGGTAATCTTTCCATAAAACAAGGTGCAAAACAAATTTGGACATGCATAATTTTAATTAATTTCGATGAGCTTATATTGAAAGTGTTTTTTTTTTAATACTCAGATTTGAATTGTAAATTTAAAGAATTTTGATTCATATTTCAAATGTACAGATGTAGAAATTAAAAAAACAGAAATTTGGAACAAACCCTTAGGACCAATTACCCAGTGTTTTCACTACAGCTTGAGAACGCGAGAATCTCGCATATTTTTTTATATTCTCGCATTAAAATATGATTATCGCGAGAAATTCGCGCATTCTATAAACCAATTTCAAAATTCTCGCATTTTGAAAAAAAAATTCTCATTTGCGCCATTTAGAATGAACATTTTCCATATGATGATGCAGCAATAATATTCAATGCTTTATAAATTAGAAGGTGTTAAAAATGCATTATAATTAAAGAAATGATTTTTTTTTCAAGTCTCCTTGTGTTTTTTTTTTTTAATTTTTGAAATCTCACCCTGTTTTTGAGAAAGGGTGAGAAATTCTCACCCATTTTATTTCTGAGATGAAAACACTGAATTACCATAAGATTGATTCACGTATAACATTGCTGATATTTTTTTACTTGCATCCGATTACTCTGTTTTATTAAATGGTTTCCTTGTTTTGTTTTTGTAGTATTCATAGTGCTAAGCCTTTCTCTTACTGCCAACATGATGTAATGGTTGGACTGCAGCAAAGCGTACCATTGTGCGCATTATGGGATACAGATGTTACAAATCGTTCTTTTTTCAAAATCTACAGTTTCTGCTATATCCCTATATTGATAGCTTCAATAATTTTTAAACTGTTTCCATACCATTTTTGGAAATAAAGGAACATTAAACACTTACAAAATTGCAAATGTTTGATCATTTCCTAGCGTCTCTTGAATAACATATTCAGAAAGGCATAAGAAGTTAAAGGTTAAAAAAAAAAATTATAAATAAATGATTTTGAATAACAAACTAGCTCATTTGAACACTACTAAAAATTTTTTTTTAAATTCTTCATATTTAAGTAAATTTTTTATTCAAAGCCATTTTAAACATGGCTGAAATTTAAGCTTTCCAGTAAAGTTTGTCTCCTAAAAATTGTGAAGTAGTAACTACATTTCAAGAGTAATTTGTGGTCACTAAATTGTTTTTTTTTAAAAAGTAGCTGTAGTTTGTAAGAATAACTGTATTTGTAATAAAGTAGTTGTAGTTAACTACAAAAATAATCTAGTTTTTCCAACCACTGCCTGAACAAAACAAGAAGCAAAAAATTTTTACTATTCATTAAAGAAGGGCTGAATAATCAAACTAAATTGAAGTCAGTGTTATAAGTAATACATTACTGAATAGTTTTACATATGTTTTTATTATTAACATTACTTTTCTATATATAAATAAAATATTATATAATCTGTCATATTTTAAAATAAGCATGTGTGTGTGTGACCATTAAATTAGGTGATTAATCTATTTTTGTGATATTACTACATGATAATTACAGAAATACTATAATGAAAATCACCTGTGGTGTTGAAGTAGGAAATCGCAATGCATCTTCTGTGAAAAATAAAAAACATAGTGTTGCTACTTTAGCATTATGTCCTAAGACTAAGAAGAAAGAACTTCAAAGTGATGAGGATATTTACCTCATACTTTGCACTCACCAGAGTCCAAGGGGAACAAAATACAAAGTAATTAAAAAAGATTTTTAAAAAATGCAGACTACTTTGCGTATGAAATATTTTTTGGTGTCCTAATTTCAAAAATTTTATATTGTTTTTAGATTTTCAACAATGTAGATAAATTGTTCACCAAGTTTATCAATGAAGGAAAAGCTACAATAAGATTTAAAGCACCTCCTCATGATGTTATTATTAGTAAGGTAATAATTTTTTTTTCTCATGTGTATGATAATTTTTAGAATTTTTTTTTAACTGTTGATAAATGGTTCACTTTATTTTTCAATGACATTAAAGGTTTTATAAAATTGAAAGCATTATGCACCTCATAATGTAATTAGTTAGATAATACTTATTTTTCTAATTCTATATAATACTTACTTGCTGTTCTGATATTTGTTGTAAATTTAGTATGTGTTTCCGCTAGAATTAATTTGCCTTCGAGAACTGTCTGGTCTTCTGGATTTGCGTTTCTTTTAAAGTTTGTAGTACCAGAGTGGTCTTATTGAGTCATTGATATGAACATTTGTAACATCGATGTGAGCATTTGAGTCATCAATATGAACTGATTCATAGTTAATTCCTCTTTTTGAGCTATTTTATTTTGCAGCTTTGTCTTTTCATCTACTTGTTAAGTGAGTTCATTAAGACAGTAAAAAAATTTAGTTATTTTAATAGCTGTTGAAGGAAAAAACTTTTTTTGTGCTTAAAATTTTACTCAGTAGAGAATCGATTATCCGGAAGGATCGGGACCATCGCTATTCCGGATAACTGATTTTTCTGGTTTACTGAATCACTACGAAATGCCGTGTTTTTTATTCTTTATCAAACCCAACTAAAAAGAATTATTTACAAATAATTTTAAAAAGAAAAAACCAATAAAGTAATACACATAAGTTTAATAAAATAAAATGGAAAAAAAAAGTAACGAAATAAAAATATATACAGGCTTAATATAAAATGAACAATAAAAGGTAAAATGGGAGGGGGGGGGTAGGGATGGACTCCTTCGTTTTCATCTTCCTTCTCGCTTTCTTCTACTTCGTCATCAAAACCATCCACTCTATTTTTTACGTCATTATTTTTCATTATTAAAAATTGAAAATGGAAAAATCGTGAGCATTTCTTTTCCTTTCTATGCACGAGAAAGACATCATTCGAATATAATTCTGGATGGAAAAAAAATATATTTCGAAAATTTCTGGAGAAAAGAGAAATAAAAAAATATCAAATTTTGTTTTGATTATCTGGTTTTCTGATTTCCGGATAAGAGGTTCTGTACTGTAGTTATTTTTTTTTCAATTAACATTAAAAAACAATTGAAAATGCAATTAAAAATTTGGAAAATAGACATCCGTATATGGAACTTTGTACTGTATAATGTATATTTATGTTTTGAAAAAACTAAGTCTAAAAATTTTTCTGTAGGCTGATCCTCTTCAATTGAAAGCTTTTCTTCATGGTGTTGGCTTAACAATCGTAGGACAGGCCAGCAAAAAAATCCGCTTCTCTCAGCCTCCAACGAAGGTGGACAGACCGAAACAAAAATTGGCCATCATGAAACGAAGTGATTACCCTATCAAAAATGGATTTCCAGATAGTCTCACTTGGCTGCAAGTGCAAGGTTGCCATTTGCGTAAAATTGGTCTACATGTTTTAAGACTAAAAAACCTTCAGGTTCTTGATTTAGCCAACAATTGTTTAAAAGAACTTCCTTTAGAACTTGGTGACATCCGATTGAAAGAACTTGTTTTGCATCACAATGATCTGAAATGTTTTCCTCCTGAACTAGCAACAACAGTNCAGTGACTAGAAGCCCATGTGACCATAACTGTAGCTAGAATGCTTTCCTTTCAAATCATGACCCATTTTATAAATAAAAATTAAAAAGAAATAATCCCACCAAGCTTCAGATCTATGAGTACCAGCTTGTCTGAGAAATAAAGGCAGCCTGCAGGTAATGCTGACAATCGTGTTCTTGGTTTTGAAGTTGTTTTACTGTTATTTATTATTATTAGCACATATACATCTAGCAAGTTTTGTGGATTGTGTAGAAGTAAGGAAAGGAATTCTATTTCTTTTCTTTTCTAGTGTTTAATTAGATATAGGTAATTTCCCATCAGACTTTTTTTGTCCCATATCTCTATTCAGCTATTTTTATTAAATATATATATGTATTTTTTTTGAATAACTTTTAAAGCCTTCCAATAACATTTTATAAGCATGAAATTTATTATATTCTAAATATTTTGACTTACAGCTTAAAGTAAAGTGTCATTTTGAGTCACGATCATGGGTGTCACTCTTCAGTCCAGGGTACTGAAATCAGTCTTGAGAAGAATCATTGGACTAAATTTCGTTAATATCCCTTTCCCATTTGTTTACTTAAACTGATTTCCTTTTTTTTTTTTCTTCTTAAAAATGTAACATATTTTCGGTTAAAAATAAAAATTTTTTTTTTTTAGAAAACAATGTTACTTTTCTCAATTATTGCGAAATGATGAAGTAATCATGCCACACTGCAATGACAGAATGAGATTTGTACTGCAGCTGAATCTAAAATTTTTTTTAATTACTACCCCCCCCCCAATGCATTGGCCTTTTGGCTAAAAATAAATCGATATTTATTTATATTTAATTATAGTGTTAAAACGAAAAATAATGGTTTAGCGAAAAATAAGTAGAGATATTAATGGTTTCAGGAAAAAGTTAGCGGTTTTATTATTTAGTTATCGGTGTAAAAAACATGCATAATTAGCTGCTATTTTTGTTTTGTTTGCTAAAAATTAATTAAATAAAGAAAAAAATGTTAAAAACAAATGATTGAGGCCATTATCACAGAAAGGTAAATTTTGGGGTGAGTGAGTTATAAATTTCTGAAAATTCCACTAACAATGATATACGATATTAATTTGTGTAGAAAAAAGTTCAGTCTTGATATTATTTTAGAGTAGCACCCATGGTTACGATAGCTCAGTGGTATTGGTGAACTGTCATTGCAAAGGACTAGGGTTTGATCCCAGTGGTTAGAAGCCCATGTGACCATAACTGTTGCTAGAATGCTTTCCTTTCAAATCATGACCCATTTTATAAATAAAAATTAAAAAGAAATAATCCCACCAAGCTTCAGATCTATGAGTACCAGCTTGTCTGAGAAATAAAGGCAGCCTGCAGGTAATGCTGACAATCGTGTTCTTGGTTTTGAAGTTGTTTTGAAAAATTGCTTTGTTTCTTTGAATGATTGTGATTATTGTAATAAGAAATACTTAGTTTACAAAATTTGGTACTGTATAAAATAGTACATTATGAATGTGAATTGCCAATGTTCTATATTCTTTTTTATAAAACGTATTTGAAACAGTACTCCCATTTTTATGTCAATTCGAATATATTATTAATGTTGTTGCTCCCTAATATTAAAGCACTTGAAACTAATTCTACATTTTTTTCTTTTTTAACCTCTATTTTAAAATATTAATTTTATAAGATATATTTCAGGATGATACAATGTTTGGCTTTTTTCCAAAATAATAATAATAAATAAATATAAATACATAAAAATGCTTTAAGATGTCTTGTTCCAAATTCTCTTAGTTGCTGTAATAGACAGAATTTTAGTTTTATAAATGCATTTTCTTTTCCTTTTAAAATTCTTTGAATCTATTTTTTAGAAAACTCAAAGAGAAATCATCATTAAAAACTTATAAATATTTAAATTAAACAAATATTAATCTTTTTAGAAATGCAAATATAAGTATTTTTAGATTTTATTCAAAAATTGGGAGTGTATTTGAATTCATGTATGTACAAGGCAAGATCTGAGTAGATACCACAAATGTATTACATCAAACACAATCAGTTAAGTTTCAATATCTTACTTTCAATTGTTTGGGATTAAAGTCCTTCGGGCTATAATTACTATGGAACTTTTTTGCCTTCTACAGGTAAGTAAAACAAGGTCCATGATCTCTATGTACTCTAGGAATTTCTTAACTATTTTTAATTTTGTTACTTTAAAAATGCATAATTTTCTTGATGTTTCTACTATGTACTTCAAAAATTGAACTTGTCACTTTTTATGTTTTTATTAAATCTTTTTTTTTTAAATTTTTGATAAATTATTCTTCTGTTCATTTAAATTTCACTTAATAGTTTGCTTTAATTCTTTTTGCATGTTCTTAAAGGTGATTTTGTAATTAATTTTATTATGAACTTATCTTTTAACCCTCCAAATGTTGAGACAGTGAGCAAAATTATACCGCAATTTCTTTGTTATGCTATACTTTCTCATTGATCAGCACTGTGGAAAGTTGTTTTTCAATGCTATAAAGAATGCTGCTGAAAAGCCCTGAAAAGGGGAAATTGACCCTCCTGTGGTTAAATTGTCTTTTTTATTACTACTTCAACAAAAATCGATCACTGTCAGATATCATCATCATTATCATCAATGGTTGGTCAGACAGCCCAATGTGAGCCAATGTCTTCCTCTGAAGATTTCTCCGTGACGACTTCTGATTCACATTTGATCTCCAATTCTTTTCATTAATTGCAAGAAAATCAGACTCCACTGAGTCAGCCCATCTCAACCACGGCCTTCTCCGTTTTCTTGTTCCAGTGGATCTAAAAAGCAGTATCTTTTTTATTGTATTGTCATCACTCATTCGAATCACGTGGGCCATCCAATTCATTCTATTTATTTTTATGTATTTAATAATATCAGATTGTTTATAAATCTTGTACAGTTCAAAGTTAAATGTCCTACATCAATATGTCAGTACATTACTATGTCAGTCATTACTATGTCATCAAATGTCAGTACATTACTATTCGACAGTAAATATTAAATATACATATTTTTAAGAACCATTGAGTTATTTAATTTTTTAGTTTGTGTTAATAAATTGTCATTTATTACAAAACACTTATATGAATAGTTATTAAATTTTTTTAGATTCGTTGTCTTTCACCCTACTTTTGTCTCATGAAAAAGATCATCATATTGTCCCTAAAAGGCAATGGTCTTCAAAATCTCCCTCACAACATCCATTGCTTAGAATCTTTGAGAATGTTCAGTGCATCTCATAATGAGCTGAAAGTAAGTTGAAATATTCATTTATCGTATACTTTCATTTATTTATCCACTGTGTTTATTGTATTATACATAGGGAATCATAATAAGGTGGATTTTAATGATACTGTCCGATACTAATTAAAAAAATTGTAAAATGTAAGTCTTGACATTTTGCTGATTATATATTTTTTATTCTTACAAATCCCTGAGATTAAACTCCCATTGTTATATTGCTAATATTCATAGAACCATTTCCTTCATTGATCAGTTTAATCATAATTCTTTAGTTTTGATTCTTCTGGAAGGATTTATTACTACAAACGTCTGTTCTCAAATCTAATTTGTGGTAGTATAGTGTGTGCCTTTGTCTTCGGATCATCATTAACCCCTTAGCAGTGACATATATTTCAGAAAAATGCACCAAAAATTGAAAAATTTTTTGACTTTTTAATTGTGTTTTTTATATTATAAAAATTTGAAAATGTTTTTTTATTACAAAAATAAAATTTTAAATGCAATAACTACTGTGAATACACAAGTGGGCGACCTTTGTGCTAAAATACAAACTAAGGTAAACAACGTTTAAGAGCACAAAAATATTTATAAATGCATTTATAAATATTTTTGTGCTCTTAAACGTTGTTTACCTTAGTTTGAATAACTACTGTATTTATAATTTTTACATACACATAAAAAAGTAATGGATTACACACACATCTTATTCAATTAGAGCAAATTATACAAAGTTTTGAAGCTAAATGTAATATAACTAGTACAATATAATATAAAAACAACAATATGATTTTCAATACATAAATTTTACAAATCTCTTACAGTATTTTATATCCCAAACAAGCCCATATCACACTCTTTTCCCTTGACTGAAGTTGTAATCAGTGAAAAACTAGGACCATTAATGCCATCTAGTAGGAAAATAAATTAAGTGTCCTGAAGTAGAAACAAACTCAGCTCGGGTTTCACAAAATATAAACATTAATTTTTAGTTCGGGCATCACAAATACTGCACATAGTAGTTGTCCAAACTGGATTCGGACAACTACTATGTGCAGTATTTGTGATGCCCGAACTAAAAATTAATGTTTGGACTAAAAATTAATGTTGTTAAGGGGGAATCACAGACAATTAGTGCAACATTAAGAAGCAAACCATTCAATTTTATCCATTTTTCATTTTAGCAAATGCTTACTGGTTTACTAAAGCAAATGCCATACATTATTTTTGAGATAATTGTTGGCCCCTTGGTGAATTTCATGCCAATCCTTTTGCACACTTATTAGTTAGTGGCTGGATTCTATCATGAATCATTCGAATATGATTTTTGATTACCACTAATTTGGTAATTGGTAAAAATATACTTTTATGTATTTCGATATCAGAACCAAATAATTTTGATCTATATTATGTCCACTCAGGATATAGTTTATTTCACAAATTTTGCTGTAAATTATTGTTATATATTCATAATTTATCGTTTTTCTTTGTAATTAACATTTGATACGCATTTCGTTTTCATCGTACATTGGCACCTTACATTTTGGTTGTAAAGAGCTGGAGTTTGCTCGAGCGACCTTTAAAGAAATAATTAAGATAAAATTGTTTTGAACTTAGACTTCGAAAAATATTCACCTTTTGTTTTGATTGGGACTTTTATTTCAAATTGATAAAATGGCATGATTCCAAACATTGGATAGAAGACAAAATTTTAAAGAAAAATCAGCCATTGATAATACAGCATTTATTGAAGATATCGAAGAGGCTATACAAAGTGTTATTACAGAAAAATTTGAATATTTTTCTTGAATGAGAAAATCTTTGGAATAGCTAAAATTAGATTAATATAGTGAAGCTGTTGACCCTCGAATAGTTGATATGAATGCAGCTTTGGATTTAATCAATGAAGGCATAGAAAAGTTAGAGGTATGTCTTATAAATCTAGTTGTTTGATTTACATAAACTTGCTCAAATAGCCGATACTAGTTCAACTTTGTTACATTAATGTCATATTGTTCATGGATTAAACTAGAGCTGATTCAGATAAAGATCTCGGCTTTCTAATTGATAATTTATTGAAAAATACTAAAACCCTGTAATTTTTAAAGTTGGAAACTAATGAACTAATTAAAGCTTTATTGATTAAAGTGGTTGCAAATAAATTGGATCAAAATTCCCGAAAAGCTTTTGAAATGTGTCTCATGTCTAAAGATTTTCCTTTTGAAGACAAGACTGGGAAATTTGTCTGTTGGCCACTAAAGAGAAAATTATCAGTAGTATTTTTACGTTCTACTGGATTTTGCTTCTAAATTTTTATAGAAGGAAATATTTATTTTTCTTAGTATAAAAGAATGTTATTAATATTATAAGATGCACTTGAGGTGCAGTTAGTGATTTTTTTGCTTATGTTACTGTAATAAACTGTTGTTTTTTGCTCATAACTTATAGTTGTTTGTCATAATTAGTATATGAAAGTTTATAAAAGTTTCAACCTATGTATATAAATTTGAAAAATAAATTGTAGAAATTCCAAAAATGTGTTCCTAAAGTCTAGGAAAGTTAAAAAAAACTAGTAAGTGACTAACATAGTTTCATTGATGGCTGATTTTTCAGGTACTCCCATTTGGAATTAGAAAACTACAACTGGACAGTTTAGATTTATTTCACAATCCCTTAGATACTGATGTTGTTTTGAGGCCTATGACTCCCTGGCAATTGCCTTCTTTACTAGAATGTGCTGCATCAGCTGTTGTCACTCAAAAGTAAGATTTTTTTTTTTTTACAGGAAAGTGATAAAATTTAAAAGTGGTATTTACAAAACTCAGAATACAAGGGCTTAAAAAATTCAGAATTTTTAGGAGCCTGCATGACAAATTAGGTAAAAGGGAAATAAAAAGTTGCATGATAGCTTTTATTAAAAGCAATATTTTTTTTAAGTCTAATATTGTCTAAAAATAAATCAAACTAATAAAAAATGAGTTATACAAGCAGGGACTACAGAACTATAGGGCAAAGTTCGGAAATCTGTTGCATTTTTAACAGAGGCAATTTTTCAATTAATTATTCAGGGCTGCCAACTTCAGATTTTATGGGAATTTTCTTCTAGTGGTTGTTAAGTTTATACTTCTTTGTCTTTTTTGATTTAAAGCTTTTTTCTGCACCACTGCATGTAAATGTTTCAAAAGTTCATATGAAACATCACTTTGCTCCAGCTCTCTAGTACTAGTAAGACTTTTAAAATGTTGACAAAATTACCAAAAATTCCACAAATTTATGCACCACTGCATGTAAATGTTTCAAAAGTTCATATAAAACATCACTTTGCTCCAGCTCTCTAGTACTAGTAAGACTTTTAAAATGTTGACGGAATTCCACAAATTTCCGCACCACTGCATGTAAATGTTTCAAAAGTTAATATGAAAGATCACTTTGCTCCAGCTCTCTAGTACTAGTAAGACTTTTAAAATGTTGACAAAATTACCAAAAATTCCACAAGTTATAGTTTTTGACCATTGTCATATCCCTCACATTCTACTAAAACAAGAGATGTAGGAGGATAAGATTTTTATTTGTAGGTTTAAATTTCCAAATTAACTACTACAACTGAACTTAGTGACACGACGGCCCATAGAGGGCCTTGGCCTACTGTGTCAGTGTAATGAGAAATACACGCTATCCGTATTTATTCTGTGAACTAATAATTTACATAACGTTATGCCAATAACTAAATCCTAACTATTAAGAATAGTAAGGAAAGATAAATATATGTTAATTACCTACTCGCAAAGTATATTGCACAAAGATATATGCTAATTTCTTACCCATAACATACATTTCGTCCGCTCTGCTCTCCGATGTATCATTGCACAACTACTGAAACAGGTATAGTTTGCCTAAAGTAAGAACTCTCTTAGCAATTTGTCTGGACCCTTGGCGGTGACTATGATAACGAGGTATAACTATTTTAAGAAGGGATGTGGGGTCACTGTTTAGGACAGGTTTCGGCTCGGGTTGGTGAGATAATGGGAATCTTTTTGTTTGGTCTATTATAATAGCCCTAAAGTGGATTTGGTGGTGGGGATTCTTGCTCTCTCGTGTACAAATCTGCTGTATTTTGCAAGGTTCTCAAATTTAGACTTCATTTTCCGCCCTCTCAAATCAAACCGAAAAATCTTTAGAGTTTTCGTTCCCAGGGACCAATTAAAGATAGCCAACTTTTTCCCTAATAATAACAAAAGAAAATTTTAATCCTTAAACTTGACTTGAGGATCATTCACTAATTACGTATTTTCATGTGTGTCCCCAGAGCAGTAAATAATCACAAATCTTCATCTCTTCAAAATTTCCATCTTACATTTAATTAACATAATTATCCATTTAATAAAGATAAGAAATAATTGAGATTTTTGATCCTTAGAATTTTTAGAAGAGGGACTATCCACCAATTGCATAAGATTTTTGTAAATGTTATTGTGCTTTGTCACTATTTAAATGCAGCAAAAAATTTTATGTTATTCATATTTGTTATTCCAAAAAACTTTAACTCCATTAAAATGAAAAATTTAACTATCTTAGATTTGTTAAATATTATTGTCATAGAGACCATATAATAATTTAGAGCAAAAACTTAAGGTTCTATACTCATTGTATTTACATTTCAAAATCATTTAAATTTTTTTTAATCATTTCATTAAAAAAATACTGAACCAAGTAACAAATTTTAATAAAAATTTGCATTATTTTTACATTTGTAAATTACTTTGTAATTTATTAAAGTTTTCTTGGCTTGCTTAATTTTTTACATACCTTTGATATTAATCAATGATATTAATCTTGTAAATGTTTTGTTGAATTATGCTTTTATAAATAACTTTTATTTAAATCTAAAAAATACCCTTAATAATAATAGTTTAATTAATTATAATTTTGAATTAAATTTTTTTGCATAATTAAGTAAAGTAATTATTAATTTAAAAAATATAATGAGCCACTCAATATTGCATAGATTCAAAATTGTGCATTAATTGTTTCTATGGTGGCTGATATAATCAAGACGAGATCTTTGTCAGAAACTAATTTTTTTATAATGATCATGTAAAGTTTTGGAAAATTATTTTGCATTTTGTTAATATATATATGAAGAACTTTAATCAATGGGAAAAAAATCTTTTTATTGGTGCGCATATCCTAATTATATATTTTTAAAGTGCTTCAAAATATTTGAGTACTTAAAAAGTGTTTAAGGTGCATATGTTTCGTTGAAAAATTTGGCTATGCACCCTGTATATAGTAGTATATGCATCTTAAAATTGCTCTAATGTGAATTTTTTAAACGCTAACTTGTTTATATTTTGTTATTGTAATTCTGATTACTGATAGCTAGTTTGGAAAATAGGCACATCTGCATTACCCACTTTTCTTATTTTTTAATGGGCCTTTGATTAAAATTTTCCATAGTGCATTTATTTAAAAAACGGTCTTCTAAGATGGTTTATTATTATTATTTTTCTCTTTTTCTCTTTTGCACCCCATAAATGCTCTCTTGATTACATTAATGCTGGTTAAGTGTTGTTTTTTTTAAGCATTTTAAAAATATATTGTATTGTATAATAATGTATTGTACACGTACATAATCATTTGTATTTATTTATTTTTTAATTTTAAAATTCAATTCTTATCATGCGAGGCAGCTTTAAAAACTGCTCAAACACGAAAAATAATAACACTAATTAAGTCCGGAAACCTTAAAAAAAAAAAAATCTTAGGAGAAAATAATTTTCTTAAACAAAATCGACGACAAAAAAGAAAAGAAAAACTTCTGCTCTCTATGAAAGACGGTTCACAACGATCAAGTCATTTTTGGACCATTTTTCAGCTGATTCCATGTATTTATTTCAAATTCTGATGCAATCATAAAGTGCAAATTTCAAAATTAAGTCAAATTTTTTATTTGCTTGATTTATTATGAATTGATAAATCCACATCTTTTACTGATCTTTTGTTCGTTGGTTAATTATCATTTTTCATCTATTTTCCATGTTTTTTCCTCCTATTTTTGACATTTTTATTCTTTTAATACTATACACAAATTTAATCTGATAAATTACTTTTTGACTTGCTCTTTCACAGCAATTCTTGGAGCAATTCTTCACAATTTTTCACAGCAATTCTTCTCAATTTTTGGGGGTTATTTCCATATTTTTTCAAATGTTGATGTTTTAAATACAATGTTATTACGACACATGTATTTAGAGTACCGAGGTATCACTTTTAAACACTCAATTTGAAAAATTATTTTAAGTAAAAAAAAAAAAAAATAATAAAAAAAGCGCTATAATTTTGGCTAAAATTTCAATCTAAAAAAAAATATGTTGGTAAATTATTAAGAATTTTTTGCATCTTTGAAGCTAACTATCACCCCTGGTTTTAAAGTATTCCAACTTTATCTGTGTGTTTTAAATGTAAGGCTAGAGCCATGGTCGCTCAGGGTATAAAGCACTCGCCATCCAATGAAGTGAACCGGATTCGAATCCCCGTGATTGATGGTCGATGCGAATTCCGCATCCGCCTTGCACTGACCACAGTACTGACGTAAAATATCCTCAGTGGTAAACGGATCATGGGTTAGAGCCCCCCTGCGGTCTGGCTAACCGGAGGTTTTTGTGGTTTTCCCTGCAAATGCGGGTAAATTTAATTAAAAAGTCCACATAGGCAAATTCATCCCAATACTTGATACAGGAGTTCCCTTGTCTTCTGTATTGGGTTAAAAATTACAAGGTTGAACATTAGTAGTCCTAAACCCAAAATTGGGTCGGCTGTTCAACGACGTTATTAAAAAAAATGTACTGTTAAATTGAGTGAAATAAAATGCATATTTTTTTTGTAGTGTTTCCTACACAGCTGAAGATCTACCTAAGAGTCTTATTGATTACATAACTGAGCAGTGTCCCTGTCCCTGTGGAAAGAAAGTATTTCAAAATGTATCATCCTGTATACTCGTACTGGATCTGTACAAATTAGCTTCAACTGTAGTTTATATTAACAACACAAGTCGTTTTAAAGTTCCCCTTGAAGTCTATTTTTGCTCAACAAAATGTTGGAAGAAGTAAGTGCATTCGTTATATCATATCTCTTAAAGAAATATAACTCAAAATCCAGGGTTGGGTTTTTGACGTCAAAAAGTGGTTTTTGACATGACAAGGGTATAATACTGGTTTAAACCGTCAAAAACCCGTCAAAAATGTCAAAAACTAAAGTTTGCCAAAAAAATATATAAACTTCAAAACTACCAACAGTTGCCATGCATTATATTGAAATTTAATTATACTATAGGTAATCAGCAGGTTTTAAAATATTTTTTAATTAAAATTAAGGTAAAATAACAGATTTAAAATCTCAGAAATTTATATTCAAATGCATGTGCAGAAAAATTTTGCACAAAATTTTTTTAAATATTTATATTTTGAAAAAAAAAATTTTTTTTTTTGATACTTAAGAAAATTAAAAGTTTATTACTATGCATTTTTGACATATAAGGAACATATAACTAATATTTATAAGGAACTTACAAGTTATGTTGTATAAATACAAACTTGATACAAGTGTATAAAATTTTTTTTTAATGTTATACCGAATATCTTTATTATCCAGTATGTTAATTTGAATTTAAAAGTAGTTATATTTGTGAATAATGATAAATATAATTCATATTGTTTATTATATTTATTTATAATTATTACACTTATCATTTTTAAACAATTTTTACCTCTTAATTTTTTTCCCCCACTTGTATTAAGAATACAAATAATGCATATCTTGAAAGCAAGAAGTAATTATTCAACAGCTGAATATTTAGATATTCAACAAAACTATGTATATAGTATTCAGCAAAATGAAATTCACAAGTATTTGGATAAACTAAATTTTCAGCATAGTAAATGAATAGGCTGAATATACTGTAAATCGACACTAACTACTCTGTGTATTTAACAGAAAGCACTTAAATTTGTATTGTCTTATGTTAAAAAGATTATTAAGAAGATTTAAAAGAATATTAAAAAGATTTTTCTTTAAAAGATGTCTAATGTACAAAACTGCTAATGTTTATCTTTAAAAATGTCTAATTTTTAGTATAATCTATACTATACACTAAATTTGGTTATAAATAAATTTCTTAATAATATCACTGCAGATTTTCAATAACACATGAAAATGAATACATAATATTACAAAAGATGTGAGCTTTCAAAAGTACAAGATTTTGGTTACTATTCAAAATATAAGTGTTTCTTCAAAATTTTAAATTTATTTTTTCTAGAACATATTTAGAAACACTATCCTTTATAAAAAATATATAAATTTTATGTATTAATTAAATTTCACATATGAATATAGGTTTTTGACATTTTCGACATTTTTGACAGTGAGGTTTTTGACGTGACGGTTTAAACCATGGTTTAAACTGTCAAAAACTGTCACATGTCAAAAACCTGCCAACCCTGTCAAAATCAAATAGTAACTTCTCTCACAATTTCTTATCTACTGTCTCTCTTGATTAAAATTTAGTTAAAAGAGTTAAGTTAGTTAGAGTTTAAAGTTAGTGTCACATAAATTTGATCTCTCTTGCATGAATAATAATAAGCATATTATGCTAATGAATGTTATACAGCTGTGAAATTTTTAATGATGAAACTTATAATAATTGTTCGTAACATGCTGAAGCAGCATGCAATTTTTAAAGCGGTACTTTTTTGCACATTTATTAATACCCTAGCAACAAAATAACTTGGGCCTTCATTGGATCAATATTCACGAATCTTGGCTCATTACAGGTTCAAAGGCCCGTTATTTCTCTGATATTGGTCTTATATAGAAATGTCCGATTCACCCAATATTTTACAGCCATTTTACAACCAATACCGGCCTTATATAGAACTGTCAGATTCACCCAATATTTTATATTTATTATTCAGCCAATATATGCTTTATATTGGTTTTATATAGGCCAATATTTGCCCTATATAGAATTATTATGTTAAAAAATCTAGACATCCCAATATTGGTCCCTCGATGCATGCTCATATAGGACCAGCTCATATATATATGTGTGTTATGTATATGTATGCCAATTATTAGCCCAATTGGGGCCAAGGTAAAATTGTTGCTACGGTAATATTCATCGAAGCTAATCTATAAGTTTTAATAAATGTTTTTTTTTTAGTTCAATGATATCTGAAATATTTTTTGTAATGTACAGTCGGACTTCTATTTAACGAACTTCCATTTCGCAAAATTTCTCTATTTTGCGATTTTTTTCGAGGAACCAAAAGCAGTTTGGAAATTTCTTTGTAAAATGACTTCAAAATAGCGATGTGAATTTTATATTTAACAAACTTTTAAGATTCACTTTCCCTATTTCCCAAAATATTTCAGAATATTTCAAACTTGTTAACGCATTTTATGGGGGAAATGATCTGGATTTGATTTTCACAGCCCTTTAGAGAAAGCAGTAAATTCCCTTTCCCTTTTTGTTTGCATTTCCTACAGGAATCTATGCCAAAAGTCAATTTACGAGGAAGCATAACAGAAATTTCTGAAGCATGGCACTGTTATGTTACAGATCATACTATTCGTAACAGTTTTGCTAAAGCTGGATTTTTAGTCAGTATGGAGAATTTGAAAAGTGCGGAGGACGATGATTTCATTCCTTTAGAAGAACTTAAAAGGTTAAAAAAATAAGAGTACAGCTAAGAGCGAACCATGAAATTAATGATGATGTAGGATTAATGATATTCTTTTTATTGATTCTGTGAAGCTTCAACCACAAAAACATTAACTGAATCAGATATTTTATACAATGTGAAAAATAAACACAATACAACAAAAATTGTGAGGAAGACGGAAATGTTGAAGAAATCACCAAACTTTCGTATGATAAAATGTTAAAGTCATTTGAAACAATTCCATAGTAGATAATAATTTACAAGATAAAGGTGTATCAATTGCTATTTTAATTATGTCTAGTGTTTATGAATTTAAAACCTGTTTAGTGTTGTTTAAGTAATTCAATTGATGATCTTCTATTTAACGAATTTTCCAGATAGCGAACTTTTTATCAGGATTTAACAACTTCGTTAAATAGAAGTCTGACTGTATTTGTATTTACTTAAAATTGTTATATTACAAGTCTAGTTATTGTAAATTTCAAAATATTTATTGTGATTTATTTTTAGTTGCTTTAAAACAGTGTTTCTTAACCTTTTTGGTATAATGGACCCCTTTTAAAATTTTTTAAGAAGTCACGGACCACCCCCCTGTGGAAAAAATAATTGCAAAAAACATCCATTATTAGAAAACATTTAGTTTTATTATTTTAATAGTATACAAAATTTTTATAATTAAAATTTTTAATGTGAAGGTTGCTGCTGCTTTTCCTTAATTAACAAATTGAATTGGGGGATAGTTTTAGACAAAGCAAGGTGCATATCATGACCTATATTGACCTGTTTTATCATATATATATTTTTTTATACAGAATTAATAAAAATTTAATTGAACTAGTCTAACTAAGAACATTTTAAATAAAATATAATTTGGTCATTTGTATTATAGCATTTTTATTTGACTATTTTTTCATAAATTATTTTATAGGAGATTTAGTTAAATATTATTTATTTTACAAATTAAAATAATATTATCTTCCTGTTTACCTGACATGTTTTCACTGCATGAGATTTTTTTAAAATTTCTAATCTATTATTATTATTTTTTTTAAAATTCAAATATTCAAATTCTTAACTTTCGTTTAATAAAGCTAATAAATTTCTATATACTCTTGAAATTTCCATTGTTGTTGCTGTCTAACCTTAGGATTATTTTTGATTCAGGATTATTATCAGGAATGGTGCATTTCCTCCAAAGTGAAAAGCCATTCCAGAAGAAATAAATTTCTTCTAACTCAGATGAAGGAAACTCTTTTTTAAAAAGAAACATCAAATATAAAAGTTTATAATTGCAATCTTGTTAAGATACTATTTAATAAAATATGGTCAAATATACAGTATTCAATAAATTATAGTATANATTATTAATATAGTATTTAATAAAATATAGTCGAACCTAATTTATATTTATATAAAGAACTGTTAAAATAACATACAAATTTTTATAATCAAATTATCAAGAGTATGAATACTCAACAGACTCTTACATAATATAGTATGTAGATATTTGCATAAAACTATAAAAGATAAAGTGAAATTAGTATAAATAAAATTAGTATATATTCGAAATATATTGGTATATATTATGATATTAGTATAAAGATAAAAGGTTGAAAACTTTCTCGTACTATATTAAATTTAATCAATTTAAATTGCTTCTATAAAACTTATTGCTAAACAATTTTATTGGTTGTTTTTAGTTTCTTCCTGCTTGGTTGAAGAAACAGGTTTCTTCCACACAAAATGAAAACTTTATATTTATAAATTTTTTTTTAACCTCCGTCTTGTTTTAAATAGCATTTTGCAAGCTGTAATGCCCAGCCACTTAAATTATGAATTTTGTTTTGCTTATTTTTTTATCATATTATAAATGTTGAATAAAATTGCAGGTATGAAGGACAAGAACTCATCTGATTGCTGATACTCATAAGAGAAAACGAAAATATTTAATTTATCGGTATTCTTTTTTTTTAATTTTTTTTGAAATTTTTTGTAGCAGTATTAAATGTGTATTTTTTATAAATAAAATTACAAAGAAACATGTTTCGGAAACATTTTTTTTTATTATTTTGGAAATATATTTATAAGCAGTTTTCAAAATTAAGAATGCTTCGACGACTAAAATAGTGTCTTGATAAATTGTAGTGAATTAATTTCAAAATAGCAATCTATTTATGTCGTTTTTTTGTTTTTTTTTTGTTCTTCTAAACGGAAATTTTTTAAATGCCTAACTGTACAAAAAATTTTGCAATTTATTTATAATTTTATAATATTGAATGTATTGAATTATATTCTATCAAAGCTTTTAAAAAATTGCAAGATTTGTACAACTGCCAAGTTTGAGCTCTTTTCCCATTTGAACATCAATAATTTATTCTGCATGTTTTAACTAAAGAAATATGTTGCATGCATAACCAGCTGTCTTTAACAGAACAGGCAATGCTTCAAACTGGTTTAAATTATTGTTTGATGACTGAGAATATAAAATAAATGTATTTACCTGCAGTCCTGTTTGAAATTTTATTTTTTTTAAACAAAATAATGTAAATAAAATTAATTTCATGGTTGGCTTCTAAATTTCTTGATTAAAAACTTCATTCAGCTCAAAAAAGTCGACATGTTTCAAGTGCTCGAAAACAGGTGCCCATTTTCAAGACTTACCAAATGTAAATGAGAAGAAACAAAAATGATTTGAAATGTAAATTGTAAAGTGGGAATGCATTTTACCCTCATTTGCTTCTCTCTGCTAATGTGGTTTTTATAGTTTTGTTTCTCACCTTTAATTTTCCATTTTTCTTTGGCAATTTTTACTTTTTATATTTTAAATCACTTTTGTGTCTTCTCATTCATGTCGTGTCTTGAAAATGGGTGCCTATTTGTGAACTCTTGAAGCATGTCAACTGTTATTGTTTCCTCCGATTTATATATTTTTCAAGCTAAGGAAGTTTTTATTTGGGTAATATGTTATTGCTTCAGTTTCTTTGGATTATTTATTTAATGTTACTAAATTATTGTTAGATACTTATCAAAAGCTTGATCAAATATCATAGAACCAAAAATTTGATCTTTGGCATTTTTAATAATTTAATTGCAACTGGTTCCAATTTCTATGAAGATTTTTTTATAAAGTAAAATTGAACTTTTATAAAATTGTTTTAAAAATGGAATGATCAAAAGCAATACAATAATTTTCCCAATCTCATAGAAGGGGAGAGGGTGTGCTAGTGTGGACAGCTGGCATAATTCTGTCATTTATGGGCCAACATTTCTCTAAAAATTTTGTCAGATTCTCAAAACCTGATCAAAACATATTTTGTTAAATAGCAAATTTTAAAACAAGGTTTTTATGAAGAAAAAGCAAATGATGAATTTGTTTTTTAATAGCCACTTTATATTATTTTTATTCATTGGTTTTCAATAATAGGAGATGGTCATTTATGAATATGCAGATTGCAAGTTTTATGTCACACTTTTTCAGAATATATTTCAACCCCCTTGTCACAAAGTGTCAAACTTCACTATACGTTCTACCCCCTTGTCATGTGTCACACTATTTCATACAGCGCTCTCAACTATAACACATTTTGCAAAATATTTTATAGAGTAGTGTACAATTGGAAATTAAAGCTTTCTCAGTTTTTGGTAATTTTGCCAATAATAGCCTGACCATGAGGGAATTGAACATTTTTAATAGCCTGACCATGAGGGAATTGAAACAAAATGGTACTTATATATCATATAAACTTTTAAATCATTTGCATTTCGTAGTGTAGAAAGTAACTAAATCAAACTTACAAAGCAAAGAATGTTACATTAGAATGTAAAATCCAGTCTGTGTCTGCATTTTAATTAAGTAACTAACATTTTAAATTAAAAATAAATGCAATAAAATATTCTTTTTTTTTTTAAATTTCACAACTCTGATTTCCTCCCAGAAAGAAATGTTGATTTGTCGTGAAGAACTGCATAGTCATTTCACTGACATCATCATCAAAGGCTCGACAGCCCAGGGTGGGCCTTGGCTTTCTCACGAAGTTTTTTTCCCATGCTAACCTTTTTCCTGTTAGCGTTTTCCAGTTATTAGTTTTTAAGACCAAAAGGTCTTTTTCTAGGCCAGCTATCCATCTCAAATTTCGCCTGCCTCTATTTCGTCTGCCAACTGGTCTTGCGTTGAAAACTCTTTTTGTGGTATGATCTTCATCTATTCTGATAATGTGAACTGCACATTTTATTCTTCGTTATTTAATGAAGTTAATAATGTCAGGTTCATTATGTGAGTGACAAAGCTCTAAATTTGTTCTTCTAAGCCATGCACCATTTCGCTGACTATTTTAGTGATAAATAAACAGTCTGGAGGTTTTAAAGTCTTCCTTCCCTTTTGCCTACACTATCAAAAGAATAAATTTTATTCAATTTTTGATTGTTTGCTACTAATATTATATAAGGGGTAATCACAAGATATAAATGATATTAATAATAACAGAGCATTGAAATAGCCCTATCACACAGAGGAGTATTCTGCCAAATTATCGAGAGAAAAAATAACATAAGTGCTTCACGATTTATTTTGAGAAAAGTGACTTGGCTACTATTTTCTGTCTATTGCTAATACTATGAGCGCTAAAATAAAATGTCAAAAAAACTGATAAAACAAATTTTTTTTTTTGCAATATGTTGCTTACCCTACAAAGATGCCAAATATATAAAAATTTCAATTTTGAATTTTTTGTCGCTTAGGTTGATTTTTCAATTGCACGGCAGTATTCATCACTTGTGATGTCTTAAACAATCAGCGTTCGTTTTTTATTGCATCACTTATATAGACTTTCTTGGACAATTTAAATGTCTCATTAACTAAATAAACAGGTAAAAAGCAATTCTATTTTCTTTAGGAAAAAGTTTTCAGTAAGTTAAGACGGAAAATAATTTTTTTTTATAGAGGTGCTGTAACTGTTCATTATGTACAAATGTATATTAACTTTGTTGAAAAATAACAAAATATTTAATTTGCTTGTTATAAGTATACTTCTCTATCAAAAAGGCACAACATTTATAGATAGCTCCACTTTTGATTTGCATTTTTTTTAATTAATCTATCATATGTTAAAGTAGAGAAAGGTCTCAACATGGCAACTCATATTGAGCTTTTTTTGATAATAATGTGAGTTGATGATATAAACATTGTTAAGGATGTACGTTCAAGGTTGAATTAATTAATTTTGAATTTTACTTGCTTTTTAAGTCAAGGTTGGAATTTTGCCTGGAAGAAGTCTGTTTATTCCAGATCTCCGGGGGAAAAAACTGGTCAAAATGAACTGAGGAAACTAAAGATGCACACTTCAATTGTTTAGCAATAAGTTTAGTACACAAATGTTTAAAGTATAAAAGAAAATTCATATAGTATCAGATTGTTAAATGATTTTCACATCTACTTTCTAAAATAACTATTTTTACATTAATTTAGGTTTATACAAAATTTTAAAATCAATTTATCAATTGTCAGTTAAAGCATGCATTCTTAACAGTTTTTAATGGAAAAATTAGTATACTATTAATGATTGTAAATTCTATTGCATTATTGAAATTTGGTTGTGATATTTTAACAGTTCTTTATAAAATTAGGTTTGCATGAGACATTAAAAGAAACTATAATTGGTTTAAATTCTTAAAAAATTCATTAAATTTATTAATTTTTTTTCCTTTTAATTGTTGCTCTCCTTAGTTAGAAATAATGTATCAAATAGTTGGAAATCTATTTAGTTATTTAAATTCAATCAGCAATTTTACATGTTTATTGTTTTAATATTTCCTTTTTGCAAATGCTTGTACCTTTTTTTCCCGTCATTGGGTTTGAAGATTTCTGTCTCTTAAATGGCAGTTTAATTATTTTTTATCAAAATATAAAAAATTTTGTGTCGTAAGCAGAAAACAATTGAGTGTTGATCTAGTGACGAAATGTCTGTTTTCAAACTTTACAGAAAAACACACTATCAGCATGCAGAGTAAAAAAAAATTTAACTCTAGAACTTTTATAGTGGCGATTAAAATATAAATATTTCTTTATTTATAAGATTTATTGACTGATGTAGTTTATTTCATGTTTGTATAAAAAGAAAAAAGAAAATATTTCTTTTATGTATTAAAAAAAAGAGACCCTATATGAAGAATTGGATTGTTGTTGTCCGCTATTAAGGCATCGGGGTTGCGATTATTCTTGTTTTCCAGTGGTGCCATCTATGGCCAATATTTAAAAATTTGATTGACAATATAAAAAAACACCAATATGCATCAATTCAATATAATTTTTTTCAAGGAAAATTGATTTTTTACCCTTAGCAGACCACTGCATGACATTTTCACACATATGATCATCTAACATAATTTTTATCTCACTTATTTGCAATCAATTTAATTGTAATTAATTTTATTAGTATTATTTAATGGGAAGTAAAATATTTTTGGATCATTAAGGGTTATAACCGTGAACACCTAGTATGTGTTTTATATTACCTTCACTTTTTTAAATTTTCTTTTATTAGATTCTACAGCTTCACTGCTAATCAAAGGAACTAACGACGTCATCTGCATTTAAGAGCTGAAAATTTTCTATTTCAAGCTTTACAATATTCTCATAATTACTTTTGGAATGGAGTTACTTTCATCGGGAAGCTTCTCATATATAGTCACATTGTTAAAAATATTTAGTCATTTTTATTGAGTTCTTTTTTTCCTCTTTGTGATTTATTTCTATTTAGGTTGAATTATTTCCGCATTGGAAGTGTGCTAAAAGTAGTGCACTAAAACAATATAAACAAAGTTGAATTAATAACTTAAAATTAATTTGCGAAGAAGGGGACTTCTCTCTGAGATAAATACATGTTTGATTTAGTAAATCAAATTAAAACTTGGGAACCACATAAATTTTCTTTCAACAGCAAGCAAAATAATGAATTGTGTTGAACTCGAAATGTTGGATATCTGTATTTATTCGTACTATACAAAATAAGAATTAGATGAAATGAAATGTCTGCAGAAAATACTCTGTTGCTCATTAAAAGTAATATACACATAGCTGTATTAATAATATATACTTAGAAATGTAATGTAGCTTCTCCACATACTAGGATTGACTCTGTTACTCATTAAATTCGAATTGACTCTGTTCCTCATTGAATTAGGATTGATTTTGTTACTCATTAGGACTCTATTACTCATTTAGAGATTCTCAATTTCAGACTTCATTTTCAGCCCTCTATAATAGAATCGAAAAATCTATTGAATTTTTGCTGATTACAGGGATCAACTAAACATTGCCATTTTTTGTTCTCTATTAGCGATGGAAAATTTAATTTCTCTTGTTAATTTCATCGTTTGTGACGCGCCATCGTCTTACGTTACTGTAAATAAAACCATCAATTGTCAAAAACTTGCCAACCCTGTCTAATTATGATATCTTTCAAAGTGCTTAAAAATATTTTTTGAGTGCTTGAAAGGTGCTTAAAAAGTGCTTATTTTTTGTTGAAAGATTTGGCCTACGCACCCTGAATTAGGATTGATTCTGTTACTCATTAGGACTTGATTACTCATTAAAAGTTATATACACATAGCTGTATTAATAATATATATCTTGAAATGTAATGAAGCTTCTCCACATACTAGGAATGTATCTGGAGAGTCACATCACCTTTAAATAAACTGATCAACCAAAATTAGTAAGTACTGATTGCAAATTTTATTTACTAACTAACTTTCAAGATTAATTTTTAAAATTTTTTGAATTAATGTTTTATATAATTAGTTTAAAAAACAAACTTTAAAAAAGAAATACTGAGACATAAGACTACAATTACTTGTTTGTGTACATTTCTTTTAGCATACTTCCTATGTGTCATAGAATATTCGATATTTTCTGCACAAAATATCCCCTTTCAATTTATGTGATACATAATTTACTATGTATAGATTGTGTAAATATATATTTTATAATTATGCATTTCTTGCTTAAAAATTTTATTTAAATAGTTTTTGGATGAACAAATTTTCAAAATAAGTTTTTGGAGACAAAAAATGTTTTAAAAATTTGTTTATTCATTTTTGATAATGTTTTGAACTTGTTTTTAGTTTAAAATGTTTCTCTAACTGAAGAGTGTACTGTGAGAGAAAGACGGGGCAATTGATTAATCACCAGATTGTAAACCAATCATTCAATCAACGACACTAAAACTTTAAATTGTTGTTTTATATATAATTGAATTATTTTGACAATTAATTGTTTGGCTCTTTGGAATAATAATATGGTTTTCAAGTAAATTTAACAATGGAGGGTATTACGAAGGAATATGCAATTAAATTATTGTATACATTAAAAGCAAAAGGAAACTAGGAATATACTGTTGGATATAATGAATGTTTTTTTTTCTTCCATAGAATAATTTATGCATTCATAAAAAAAGAATTTCTTGTTCGGATTTTTCGCAATAGATCTCTTTCTTATGCTTTTGCTCCCTTTGTTGATTTCTGGGTCCTGTACATGCTCGAAAGTTCTAGATATGAATCAAAAAGTAAAGTCAAATTAAAATATTTTGACTTTACTTTTCTGAGAAATTTTTAGACAAATTTGGTAAATAAATTGCATTCATAATGAAATTTTTACTTCTTTTTTTACAAAAAAAAAGACATGATATTTGAACTCTTAATTATTGTAACTGCAAAAAAAATAATTTATGAAATAAGTAATAACTTTTATGAGTAGTTGAAAAAAAAAAAGAAAAAGAAAGTAAAACTAATTTTGCTAAAATCATTTTACTTTCATCTTTATTAGTTTTAGATTAGTTCGAATGTGGGGCATGCATTTCATAATATTCAGATCTATATTAATTTTTTTTTAAATTCTTTGTTTTGAAACCTTTGTTAAGGAATTTTGGCATTTAATTATGTAATGAAACATTACTTTAGTATTAATTTATGGTTTGAACCTTGTTTTTTGTAGTTTTTATTTTAAAGATTTTTAATTGGTAATTAAAACAATACTGCAATGTAGTTAACAACTTCTGGGTTTATACATATTCCCACATTTTGTTTACAATATGCTGTAATCTCGTGCTGAATTCATTATTTATTAGTTTGAAACTTGTTTTTTGGATCATACATGGGGCATTGTATTTCATACGAATTTCAAACACTATGTTGTTGATTGTCTTAGATAATTAGGATCAGTTTTACAAAATAATTTTGTTTCTGTTGTCCCTGGGATAAAATATTTACCCGAAATATACTTCCGCATTAAAGTGTACAAAACCAGTTATTATTGAGCTTAGATATTATCCAATAATAAGCACAATTTATTAACTTAAGATTTATAGAAACAGCATTACTGAAATTAAATATTTTAATAATAAATTAAATATAGGGACGGGGAATTTAATCATAAAGTATAGCCTACAAGAAGCAAACTCATAAAAAATCAGCAATCCCGGTAGTAATTAGCTAACATGTTAATTATAATCTTCTTTTTTTTTTTAAATTTATTTGAGTTTCTTAAAAATATATATTATATATATGTACACAGGATGCAACTCTGTTTTCAGTTTGTTATAAAACCTCATGTCTGTAATAACTGCGTTTGTAATTGATTCCTTTTATACCTGTAACCACAGATTGTGTATGTTAAAATTGTCTTAGATATAGTTCGTCTCAAGTAAGAACTCCCCTGGTCATTTCGGTGATTCGTTACAATAGCCTAGACCGGTGTCTTGGCTATTGTAACGAGGTATAATTTCTTCAAGTAGGGGTGTGGGGTCGGCAGAAAAAAAATATTTTTCTTCGGTCTATTGTGTTAGCACTAGAGGGCTATCCTCTCTAAAATGCACTATTCTTGTTTCCCTAGCAGCAGACGGCCTTAGACTTTGTGGTGTGGGGAGTTCTTACTGTAGACAAACTATACACGCAGTATAAGATGGTGATACAATAGGTGAAGTAACAGGGATTTATTCTCTCTGGATGTCCATTTTTCATACAAAAGGGGGCAAACAAGTTGTAAATATTCTAAACTACTTTTTACAAAGATATGTTTGCTCTTTACTAATTGATTTTTTTTAAATATTTTATATTCAATGCTAAATTAATTTAAAAAAAATTTTTTTTTTCTTTGAAGATAATTTTTTTTCTTCTTTATAACTCATAGTAGTTATCTATTTTCTTTGAAGATAATTTTTTTTCTTCATTATAACTCATAGTAGTTATCTATGCAATACAATATACAGTAGGTAGACATTGTTGAGCTGATCAACATAACCATTGAATCACTTCCCATGAAGTTGGTATTATTTTAAAACGAATATGTTGTAATCTTTTATTAATTAAGTTAATTAAAGAGATAATGTCATTGAGCCTTGTTTCTATTCAAATATAAATAACTACACAGAAATAAATAGGTACTGTTTGAAATTTTTTTTTATCTCTTAGTAGTTTTTGTGTACTATGGTCAATATTTGTTGTTTCTTTGAGAGCAAAAAAATCCAATAAAAAGATTGAATTAGATTTTTTTTTAAAAAGAAAATCAGGTTTCATTTTTAAACTTAAAAACATCAGGCCTAAGTTATTAAATTTTTATTATAATAAGAACTGAATGGGTAAAATTGAGTTATTTTGTTTTTATGCCCCTTTTGCCTACATTAAATTAAAGGTTAAATTGCACTAAAAAATCTATAGTGTAAAAAAATATTTACTGAACTAAAAATATCTTACAATTATAATTTTTAAAGTCTTTCATATATACCCAGAAAAAGGTGAAAAAAATTGAGACAATTTATTATGCAAAAACATTCTGGCTGTAAAATAAATAAAAAAGAAAAGAAAATTGTAGAATAGTTAATTCTAAGATTTTTTTATATGAAATAAAAATATTTGTTTAAATAAAGGTTTTGTTTAAATTA